TAATTAGCAGCTAAAAGAACTTGTTCGAAACTTAAATTATTCCTAGAGCTGTCTCTCTGAGCCATATATATATATATATAAAAAATGGCTAGAAGACCTTGAATTTTCAAGGCGACAAATAACCACAACCACGCGGCCGGTTATAGCCACTTGCTGTGGTACTTCAAGCCCAAAGGATCTACATAGAGAAAATTATCATGCGGAGAAAGGTATATACTCGTAACAAAAATAGGAAAATAATGGGCAAAATCCGCAAAAAGTGGATTCGAGCAGAAAATAGGATAGGTAACCCGAGCGATACGTATTTCTGCTGGTTGGCTTCATCAGGCCCGAAATGAATGCACATATGCAACTACAAAATTTGTGGGCATGTGTATCTACTTTTGTAGTTGCATATGTGCATTCATTTCGGGCCTGATGAAGCCAACCAGCAGAAATACGTATCGGTCGGGTTACCTATCCGATTTTCTGCTCGAATCCACTTTTTGCGGATTTTGCCCATTATTTTCCTATTTTTGTTACGAGTATATACCTTTCTCCGCATGATAATTTTCTCTATGTAGATCCTTTGGGCTTGAAGTACCACAGCAAGTGGCTATAATCGGGCCGCGTGGTTGTGGTTATTTGTCGCCTTGAAAATTCAAGGTCTTCTAGCCATTTTATACTACAATGTGTAGGTTGGCTCTTGTTGTGGACTTCGTGTGTCTTTTTTTTCCTCTCCATCTTCGTTTCCTCAGGTTACACATGTATCCGGATGTGTGGGCATGTGTATCTACTTTTGTAGTTGCATATGTGCATTCATTTCGGGCCTGATGAAGCCAACCAGCAGAAATACGTATCGCTCGGGTTACCTATCCTATTTTCTGCTCGAATCCACTTTTTGCGGATTTTGCCCATTATTTTCCTATTTTTGTTATATACCTTTCTCCGCATGATAATTTTCTCTATGTAGATCCTTTGCGCTTGAAGTACCACAGCAAGTGGCCATAACCGGCCGCGTGGTTGTGGTTATTTGTCGCCTTGAAAATTCAAGGTGATGTCAGCTGGAACTGTACGCCAATTTGCATTCCCAGCCGAGTAACCACCGCGGCCGCCAGATGCTGCCGATTCTGCAGCCATAGTACGAGCCCCTTCCCACTTCAGTTGGCCCAACTATTGAAATCTTAGTTTTCTTTTTATCAAAGACAAATAATAAAAATGTAGCAGGGTGGTATAGGTTTAAAATATTAACAATCAATATATATAGTAGAAAACACCAACTTTATCACTCCCTAATCCAATTTGCAGCATAAAAATAACACATGTTGCAAGTACAGCATATCAACCTATTTTCATTTCAATGCAAAATAAGTTTATAATGCATAGGTGGCTGTGAAAAATAAAAGCCATGACAATTATTTTTATTAATCGCAGCTGTCAGAATACGTTTAAAATAGTTTTGGGTAGTTAAGGTTGTCAAAATGGGTAGAAGAAAGGTTATTAGTGAGAAAATTCGGTTACTGATAATTAAATTTTTTAATTCTGGGAAATCAAACTCAGAAATTGCAACTTTGATAGACTTATCGCGGTACAATGTGAGAAATATTGTTAGAAGATATAACGTAACTGGTTCAGTTAATAATAAGCCACAATATGTGAAAAAAAGTAATATCACAAATGCCGGCCGAAGAGCATTAAGAAGAATAATCGTGAAAAACAGGCGTGCTAATTATTTACAATTAAGTGGTCTGTGGAGTTAGGCTGTTGGAAGGAGAATTTCGAGGTCCACAACTCATAGAGATGCTCACAAACTGGGATTTAGCACTTGCAAGGTAAGTTTTCTTATAAAAAAAGTGAAGTAAAAACCCTAAAGTTGCACAACTTATTTATAGGCCAAAGAAAAGCCACTATTAACTCCACTGCAAAAGAAAGATCAGCTTAGATGGGCTAAAGAACATAGACAATGGACACCTCAACAATGGTGTGCAATACAATGGAGTGATGAGGCCCGATTCGAAGTTTGTGTTGGTGACAGTCGCAGTAGAGTTATTCGCAAAAAAATGAAGCATTCCATGTTGACTGTCTGAAGAGCAAAGTGAAATGTCCAGCATCCATTATGGTCTGGGGCAGTATGTCATCAAAAGGAGTAGGAAAACTTCATTTTATTGATGGAAATGTGGATACAAACAAATATTTGGCAATTTTAGAAGAATCACTTTTACTAGTGATGGAAGAATGTTTGACACCCGGCCATGATTTTGTGTTTCAGCAGGATGGTGAAGCCTACCATACCTCAAAAAAGGCTTTAAAATGGATGGAAGAAAATAATGTACCACTTTTGAAATGGGTTTCTAGCAGTCCAGATCTGTCACCTATTGAAACTTTGTGGCACGAGATGAAAAAGGTTCTACGACAACATCCTGCTCGTACAATCACCGAACTGAAACAAAAGCTTCAAGAAATAGGTGATTGTTTTACACCAAATTTTTGCCAAAACTTGGTTAACACTATGCCCCAAAGAATTTCAGCCGTAATAAAAAATAAAGGTGATGTTACCCAATGGTAATCAATCTTTCAATTGCTGCTTTGTTAACTTCGCGCATTTATTCGCACATTGTTTATTTGTTCAGATGTTCTATTAGTTATAGGTCTAAGTGATTTCAAAAATTTTTTACGACTAGAGTGTATCTAAAATGTTTTTGAGAAAATAAATTGTTTTAGAACTAAATAGTTTCGTCATGTTTAGTTTATAAAAACATATTTTGGAACAAATCTTGAAGTGCCAACTGAAGTGGGAAGGGGTTCGTAGATACAGCCTACTCGGGATCGAACAAACAAACTAGTTATACAAGATGTCTCACCGCTTGTCCGACAAATTTTAACAACATATGCGCTGTTACGATAGAGGTTGATTTCTCAAGAAAAAAATCTAATAAAGTCCTACAGAAATTAAGTTATAAACCTGAGTTTCAATAACAAATTGAAAAATAAATATCTGTATTTTGCGTTCATCGTCGCGATATAAGAACACACATTAATAATTTATTGTATCAAATCTTGTACCAGACAACTGACGAAAACAACATACCAGTCATTTTTTATTTTTTCATACTGATAAGAACGTGTAAATAAGGTTTAATCTGTATCGTGGGTGATCTGAATGAAGAACGGTCTATTTTTGTGAAACTCAATCAAAAAAGTATTTACGAGTTTATGTTTTTAGTTATTTATTAATAAAAATGGCACATGTGTACACTAATGGGGAGTTAGTGGACATTGTTTTAGCGTGCAGAGAAGCAGGGCAAAATTCGCGAGCAGCTTCTCGTTTGTATGCAGACCGATTTCCGAATAGGCACATACCACATTATGAAACAATTAGTTCAATTGTTTTACGTGCACGTCATAGTGGAGATTTGCGCCCCAGACGTGGAGTGGATGGGGGTCGGGTTGCCGAAGAAGTTGAGACCCAACTGTAGGCTTATCACTTCCAGAGAGTCCAGGCATTGCTACCTTCAGACTACCCTCTAAGATTAAGATTTTCCGAGTGTTGCAAGAAAATGCCCGAAATGCCCGTCTTACAGCTGATATTCTGGCCACCGATGAAGCTATTTTTACTCGTAATGGGATAATCAATCTTCATAATACATACGTTAGGTCCTCTGCGAATCCTCACGGAATGGTCCAGACACACTTCCAACATCGTTTTTCTTTAAACGTGTGGTATTTGGAATTTCTTCTGATTGCATGGTTTCCACGGTTTCCCGATCTAAATCCTCTGGACTTCTTTTTTTGGGGATACTTGAAAAGCTAGGTATACCGTAGTACAGTTTAGAATATTGGAGAATTGCGTGACGGAATCACAGTGGCTGCCGATAATTTGAGCCTTCAGGCACGGCAGGAAGAAGGTGTATTTGGATTATTGTGCCGAAATTGGACTAGACGCGCCCAAGCTTAGATTGCAGTCAATGGAAACAATTTTGAACAGCTTTTATAAGTAAGTAAACTATTCAACTGTATTATTTTATCATCTCGATTTCTCTAGGGCTTTTATTAATTTTTTTTTGAGAAATCAACTTCTTTCGTAACAGTGCATATGTGGTTAAAATTTGTCGGATAAGTTGTGAAGCACCTTGTATATCTTCCGTTCGTTCGACCACAGATGGTCAACCATGGACAGCTGTTTCGTGCTATTTGGCAACTCTCCAGCATAGTGTAGGGTTGGTTTTGGTGGACAACAAACGAAAGCAGAGCAAGCCTTCTCTATTCGCAGTATAAGGTCTATCGAAATAAGGTAGGACAAAGTGCCATCCTTTACCAGAATCGACCGCTGCCAAAGTAGGAACAGCAAGCTGTTATGCCTTGATTACATGTAACGAGTACAGTGGCGAGACAGTGGTCTCGGCCTAGTACTCGGTTATTATAAACAGGTAATCGAGCGCTCGGCCGAGCTTTGGGCCCAGTAGGAGAGCGAGACCGTCACTTGGACCCTTTTCTACTTACTAGACCGAGTGCCACCTCCCCTACCTACTCGGTATATCGCTCGACATGTGCTCGACAGGTTTGAACAGGCACTCAGTGTGCTATATCACTAGCCATCTACGAAACTGCGTCTAGTTTTATGGTCTGATTGTTTCATCTTTCAATAAAATATGGCTAAGAATGGGACTGTGATACCACAATCAAATTTATCCAACAATATAAATCCCATTTTTGCTTATGGAATTTCCAGTCAACGGACTACAAAAATAAACAGAAACGGGATGCTGCAATTGCCGCAAGAGTTGAAGAAATGGATATTGATGGCTTTGGAGTGCAAGAAGTCAAAAATAAGATTAAACATTTGAAATCCACGTACAATCAAGAACTGAACAAAATTAATGTTTCAAAGAGATCAGGGGCTGGGCTCAGTAATGTGTATACTTCAAACATCAAGTGGCTGAAGGAAATGGAAGAGGTGTTTATTCACGATATGAAAAGAAAGACATATGAAAATGTAAGTAGTTTATTTGGTTTGGTTACAACTATGAAATCATTCTATCTTGCCATACAACAGCACCTGCTCCACTAAAGTATTCGGCATACTTGTCTCTGAGATTTCTTGCTATTCGTGGTGAATTATTGGTAGTGTGATCGGTGATAGATGGCAAGGTGGCTATGAGTTCTCGTCCCCAAGTCCCTTCAACAATTGTTCCAGAGTCAATATCTTCTACGTCCACGCAATCCTTTGGAAAGTAACAACTGGGACTTGTTAGGCGCAACCAATTATGCAGAGCACATGAGGCTCGAATAATGTTATTGGTTGTGTTGACGTCAGTTGGTATAGGTTTTTGAAATATTCTAAATCTGCTTGTTAGGATGCCAAATGCATTTTCGACTATTCTACGTGATCTGGATAATCGATAGTTAAATATTTTTTGTACTCTTGTGAGGTTTGTGCCACTGTATGGTTTCAATAAATATCTCTTCAGTGCAAAAGCAACATCACCAACTAAAAAACCACCTGTTGGTAGCATATTGTTTTCAAGGTCGCTGTATAATGCGCTATTTCTGAAAATTCCACTGTCCGAGTTTCTTCCATTTGCTCCGATATTAACATAACGGAAACAGTAGTCATGGTCAACAACAGCCATAAGCACAACACTGTTCGTGCCCTTATAATTGAAAAATTCAGGATTTCGGTTATTTTCAGATTAATGGAACCAGCACTGAATATACCATTGCACAAGAAAATGACCCCTCCGTGACCTTACAATCCCGCTACACGGAAGCAGTTACTACAGCTGATGTAACATAAACCAAAGCCATAAATTTAGCTACATCAGCTTCTACTAGCAGCATTGGAAATAGTTCACGTGCAGGGAAGAGGAGTAGGGATATTGTTAAAGCGGTTTCTGATGTGAAAAGCTTACATGACCAAGTCAATGCTGCCGAAGAAAACCCTCTTGACGTGTTTGGGAAGAGTGTTGCATCGCAACTTAAAACTTTTTCAGTAGAAAATGCCTTATTAGCTCAGTGCCGGATCCCAAGCCTTTTGAGCGAAATCGGTATCAAGGATTACAGAGAAAAGTATGCACCGAATAACAGCAGTCAAAGATCATCTTCTGTATTTTCAAATTTCACTGATGTTAGTTATACATCTACTGCGTCAACAGACCATGTGATAAACAGATTTGATAACCTCACCTCAGAATCGGACACTCTTCGCATCACGAATGATATTATAACGTTAGCTATGGCTGCTGCCTGTGACAGTCACATCGGGAACGAACAAGTTTAATGTCGAAATAAGTTTTGAATGTTTGTTACTTTCATAATAAAACTAATGTACTATTATGTTATATTTAATATCAGCCGAAGAATTTAAGAAACTATTCACTCTCAAAAAATGTCTGATAAAAAAATCACTTACCTTTACATAGTCTTTCAAATAGACATATATTGCATCCATTACCTCTGGTAGGAGTAACGATATTGCAGCTCGAGATATTCTATAGAAGGCTTGTAAATACCGGTAGCTGAGTCCTGTTGCAATATATGTTAATGCCACCTGTAGTTTAATCCTTGCAGGTATAGCTTGCCTCATGACAGTATTTTCTTTTTGTATCATTGGAGTGACACTTTCCAATAATGCATTGAAATGCTCTACATCCATTCTCAAAAGTTCCCACTGCAATTCTCTAAAAAGTGTGCTACTAGCACCAAATTCTGATCTTCTTGCAATCCATTTTCTTGTCCACACACGCTTCTTTTTTTCGCGCAATAATTCATATAATTCTTCAATCATAAGTGGTATGAGTAACTTTGTATATTCCTTGATACAGCTGTTACGATTCATTTTTATTAGCAAAACTAGCCGTTTTCCGATCGACAATGCACTGATTCAAAGAAAAGTTTCAGATGCGTGTGAACACCTTCTCGCCCGTACAACTCTCTCGGCCTAGTTATATTTTGCTGTCTCGCCACTGCACTCGTTACATGTAATCAAGGCATTAGGATCAGAATCGGCGTCAACTAGCGGCCACAGTGGCGACCCGGCTGATAATGCAAACTGGCAAACAGCTCCAACAGAGAGCTTGCAGTTTTCACTCTCCCAGCAGTCGATTCTGGTTACAGATGGCGTTTTGTGCTGTCTTATTTTGATAGACCTTATACTCTGAATTGGGTAGAGTTGTTCACCTCTCGTTCGTTGTCCACCGGGACCAAGCCCTCACTAAGCTGAAGAGTTGCCAAATAGCTCGAAACAACTGTCCATGGTCGTCCGTCTATGGACGGTCAAACGAAAGCTATATTCTCGCCGATAAGCGAATCCACAGTAGTTTAGAGAATGACAACGGACCGATCCCAGTAAGTTGGTGTTCTAAGTCTGATCTAAATGATAAAACATTCTCCTTGTACTATGAACATAACCATGACTTTTAGTTAACGACTGATATTAAATTGCGCCAGCGCTCACAACACAGCGCACTACACTCATATTTCAAAAGTCACCCTTCCACAAACCACAATTATTGGTAAATGCCGCTCTCTGGTGGGGTTTCGTTTCGGTCGCGCGCAAAATAAAATAGTCGAAATAAATTGGAATTGAAATATTCAGCTTCATCGCTCTCGGCTGAAATTGAGTTCCATTCAGTGACAGAAAAATCGTCGTTCAATAAAAAAATGTCTGCGAACATTTCTATTTTAGGGGTAACTTCATTTAGTTTTCAATCATTAGTACCTTAGGCGTGGAAGGTCGAGTCATTAGAGCCCAAGTGTTTGTCTCAATTTATACAACTGACTTCAGGAATAGTGATAACTACAGGTGTTTTCATTTATCTCGTTTTCTCTGACCGATTCTTACTTTTGTTCTTGCATCCTTACTCTTCAGGCATAATTCTTAGTAATATATTTATTGCATTGTTCATTCGCCACTTGGGCGAGGCAAGCTACCAAACAACCAAAACTGCCACCTTCAAAAGGTTTCTAAGATATATCATGCCATTAAATGTTAAATAGAAAAATAAAAGTGAATAATAAAGCAGAAAATAAAAAACTCAGGTCCATTAGATCAGAATCAGCTAGAATGGCTAAACAGGGCAATCGTTGAAAGAGTTTTAATTTTGTATTCATGCCCAGCAAAATAAACCGGACAAACAAAATTTGAAATAACTTTTTAACCTTTGCATCAATTTGGTTATTTTATTTGTCTAGTTGTAGGTAATTTCATTGTCATCATTATAGACTGCGGATTTAGTCAAAAAATTTAAATTGTTTGTTGTTATACAGGGTGCAACTAAAAGGTGCATTTTGCCCAAAATTTCTGTACACCCTGTGGAAACATTCGATTACTGAATAATATCTCTTTGTATGACAATTTCAAGACTTAACTTTTATCAACAGTTCTTTCTTTGATTCATGTCAATATCTCGATTATTGAAGAATATATGCTGTGTTGAAGAAAATCATGCGAATCACAGCCATAAACAATTTATACTAAGTGACATATAAATCCGAACACCCAGTTTAAATGGTTTTATTTTAATAAAAGTTGGTGAAAGTATTTATCTTACTGTAGATAACAAGTGAAAAAATTTTCAGCCTTATCAGTTGGACATTCCGGTTTTTATACTGCATTCTTTAATTCACTAACGCTCTAAAAATGAATATTTCAGCCGCAGTAAAGAATCAACGTTGTCGGATTTTGGTTCTTGACATCCTTTACGATCGGTTACGATGCCTAGAGTACGGAGACCTGTACGATTTCGTCAACTTAGTGAGTTTGATAGGGGCCGTATAGTGGGACTTCGGGAAGCTGGACTTTCTTTTCGGGCAATTGCAGTTAGAGTGCAAAGAAGTGTAGACACTGTGGTTAGGTGTTGTCAGGCATGGCTTCGAGAAGGTCGTACGCAAAGAGCAAGGGGCACTGGACGCTGCCGTAGAACAACAGAGCGTGAAGATCGCCGCCTAAGATTATTGGCCTTAAGGGACCGTTTTTCCACTACCAGGTCCATTGCAAATAAATGGTTTGCAGAACACGGAAGACCTATTGGCATGCGAAGTGTTTACCGACGAATGAGAAGTTTTGGCTTGTTTTCATACCGGCCACACTGGGTCCTCCCTTTAACTCGAGAACACCGACGTACTCGCCTTGAGTTGTGCAGACAACGGTCACTCTGGGATCAGGAATGGAACAGTATTGTCTTTAGTGACGAGTCTCGATTTTGTTTAGGCACGCACGATGGTCTTGCCAGGGTTAGAAGGCGACGTGGTGAAAGGAGGAATCCACAGTTTTTTGTTGAAAGGCATGTTCATCACACTGTTGGAGTTATGGTTTGGGGTGCTATAGCTTATGGTTCCAGGCCACCTTTAATCTCCATCAGAGGTAACATGAATGCGCAGCGTTATATCCACGAAGTTCTAGAACCCCATCTTTTACCCTATCTTGACACCCTGGCAGATCCAACTTTCCAACAAGATAATGCCCGACCACATGTTGCAAGAGTCACAATAGACTTCTTTCAACATAATGATGTCACATTGTTACCATGGCCACCAAGATCTCCCGACTTATCCCCAATTGAGCACGTGTGGGATATGATGGGTAGGAGATTGCTCAATTTGCAAAGTACTCCTCAGACTCTAGAAGCACTTCGAGAGGAGTTGGTGGTTGCCTGGAATGAGATACCACAGGAGGACATTGGCCACCTGATCAGAAGCATGCCTAGGCACGTTGGAGAATGCGTAGCACATCAGGGTGCATGCACACATTATTAAAGGTCAAAGGGCTTCAAAGCAGTGCAATCATTTTGAAATTTTTATCATTTACTTATTATGCTTCATTAAGTACTTATACAAAATTTCATTAAAATAAAACCATTTAAACTGGGCGTTCGGAGTTATACTTGTATGTCACTTAGTATAATTTAAAAAATTACAGTGACAATATTGGTAAGAAAACTATGCTTATCATAACTATATACAATTTATCTTAATAAATTACAGTGACATCATTGATAATTAGAAATTGTTATCAACAACGGGCTTGAATAACAGCTCTCATTCTCTGTTGGAGTATTTGCTCTCACTCGTTTACCAGCGCCTGTTCCAACGCGGCCACAGTTTGAAATTTTCTGCCTAAGCCTTGGCGGCCAGTTTCTTACTTGAACTTCAACATCGTTGAGGTACAGCCTAGTCATTCTGGCGATATGCGGCCGAGCATTACCTTCCATTAAGAGAAAATTTCCTCCTATGAAGGGAACATCAGGAACCACATGTTCTTTCAAATACTCTCTTATGCACCTGTCGGCAGTAAGGTGTCCTCCTCATAGCGAAACAAGATCTATGCGGGATTCCAAAGAAATACCGCCCCATACAATCACTCCTTTACGGCAAGCATTTCTGCGATATACCGAATAGGGCGACCATCATCTTGTAAAGCTACAGCTTGCGCTACTTGTTCGGCACATTATTCCGATTTTTTTGACATTATACTGTTTTTTGCCATTATGTAGGTTATTCTACAAGATGTTAACTTAGCACTTAGTTGTACGTGTTGCCTAAACGTCATGAAGCTTGTTATCCATCTTTGGCTCTGATGTGATGTAAAATCTGTTTTTGGGATGGCATTACTGGAGGTCTAAGCTGTAAGTTGTATGTGTTGATGATAATTACATTGGGTTCTTGTCTCAAATATATATTCAACAAATTTGCTGAATTTAAAAAATGAGAGTGATAAGAAATAATTATGTTCACTGTACACTGTCGAATTACAAGCCATATACATGCTATCAGTAATTACACACAACGTGGGCGCGGTGATGATTTTCCGTAATTCTCCTCAGTTTTTTGTAATTTATAACTTTGAACATAACCTCTCTTCAGAAAGCACAACATATAAATGACCCGTCGTATTCGGCATATTCAGTAATGATCTTGCTATTCAACCAACTTTCTTCTCAGAGACTTCTCACAAAACTATGCAACCAGTAATGCGTAGTTTAGTTGAGTGATTCCTCCATAGATGGACGTTCACAACGATCCTAGTGAGCAAACGTGGAAGACTGTTTGCGCCTTGAAAACTACCTAAATAGTCTGCAAGTTGACATCTTATAGGTTTTTTTGACGTTTTTTTGGTTTTTTACAAAAATACCCGTGCGGGTGTAATTTTTGTTGAGTATTGGTTGACTTGATTTTCTTCAAAACAGCATATATTCTTCAATAATTGAGATATTGACATGAGTCAAAAAAGGAACTGTCGAGAAAAGCTGAGGCTTAAAATTACATTATTCAGAAATCCAGTGTTTCTACAGAGTGTTAAAAAATTTAGGGCAAAATGCACCTTTTAGTCACATCCTATACAACAACATACACTTTCACTTTTTTTGCAAGATCGGCAGTCAATAATGATGACAATGAAATTATATACAACTTGACGCAGAAATTAACGAAATTGATGCAAAGGTTAAAAAGTCATTTCAAATTTAATTTGAACAAAATTTTGTTTGTCCGGTTAATTTTGTTTGGCGGTGAGGATGCTTTTGGAATGAAGTAGGACTCGTTGCGGTATTTCGATTACTGGTTACTCTCAAATCGGGGAACTATGAATTGGAAGTGAACTACCAGATGCCTGTGGATTCGTGTTTCAAGTTCTGGTTATTAATCCATAAATCTTTGATACGGTGTCGCTGCATTTATGCTTGAAATATTGTGTACAGTGCGTTTCGTGATGTTGGGTATCTGTGTCTCATGTCATCAATGACAAGCTATGTCACTCTAAAGCACATTAGCATTCTATCTGAAGATAGTCAACATAATACTCTATTGGCGCGTCCCAAAAATTAACCGAGATGGAATGAG